CTTAGTTCGTTAAAACTCCCTCGCCGAAAAAGAATAAGAAGAGCGAGCGGAGGCCGGGGCCGAATTTTCGGAGCCCACAACTATATTCAGTCCATACAGCGCATCGCTTCCAGGGGACGCCCTAACATTAACATAATTTTTTAAAAGATTCATGACATGATTATTCGACAAGTTTTATGCTGGCTGTCGACTACCTAACGCCATCCTCAACTTTTCTCATCCAGGACTTGGGACCTTGCAACGATAGTTTTTAAATTTAATTCACATATAAATTTATAAATTTAATATAAATTTTTATTAATTTATGTTATACACTTTTTTATAATTTATATCTATACATTATGTATCAAATTTATTTGAAATTTTTTCCAAAAACATCTCCTTAAAAAAATCCACCATGCATACACATGACACAACTAGTTGTTTAGTCCCACATCACTTGGAAGATTTTTCTTATATTGTTTATATAGCTAAATAAATTATTCATTGAACTGATCGGTTCTTAAAAAAAAATCGGAAACGGTTCAACGGTTCACTAGTTAAACTGACAGTTCAAACCGGTTTGATGTTTTGTTGGTTTTTCACGAGGACCAAACTGGCCACATGCCCAATTCATGGTTGAACCGGTCGATCAGGCCGGTCGGGTCCAATTTGGTTTTCAAAACCATGGCCAATAGATACACATGCAATAGATGCGATTGTATTATATGGTGCATGTGGTATAGTGGGTGCGCATTATTTGGCAGTTGGTATACTAGTGAATATCACTTATGGTAAATAAGGAAGAAAATTGAGGTGATCGCTTTAATAAGAGTTGAAAAGCTCTTTGAAAGAAGCATACCACGCATAGTCAGTTTTGGTTCTATTTCTCTTGTGCGCGATTGCTTTTTATTCAGGTTTTTATTCACAGTCCCTGTCCAATCCAGTTTTTTTTACAAGTTCTGTCATCTTACATGCGCAGTCATGTTCTCTCCTCTTTGCTTTTGTTTTATCCGGACTTTCATCTGTTTTTTTTTGTCAGCATCCCTTATGGTTCTCTTCTTTTTTCTTGGTTGAGACTTAATGATGGTGGTTTAGAGCTTGGGATTAAATGATTAAGTGCTTAATATTTATGATCAAAATACCTCAAAAAGAGCTTGTTTTGTGACACTTTTGACCTTGTTGAGAGTTGGTAGGTTGAACTAACCTATGAAATTAAAATGAAGTAAGTTTGAAAGATAATTTAAAATAGGAAAGAATGTTGATTTTTTAAGTTTTGTCATGAACGACATGGCTTTGATTTTCTCAAGTATTTACCTATTTCAAAGATTTAAGCCTACCATGATTGCTTGCTTTCGTTTTAAAGTAAACTTATGAAGTGAATGATCTTGGATGAGTGCATACTTAGCTATGTTTGTGCTTACATGCAGCGGATGAGGAGAGAGAGCAGATTGCAAAGGAAATTGCCAAAGACTGGAGTTCTGGTATGTTACTATTTTATCAATGATCTATCATGTGGATCAAGCTCTAACTGTAACGTTATTATTATTTGAGTTTCATACTAGGTTTGAATTGTCCGAAATGTTGTCTGCACTGCAGTTTTTGATCGTACTATAAATACACTATTCCTGACCGAAATGGTTCGTGGTCTCATGCTGACCCTGAAATACTTCTTTGAGAGGAAAGTCACCGTGAGTTTCATTCTTCTGATAATTTTTTGATGCAGAAAAACTATACCCTTTGATGAGTTCTGTATCCTTTGTTGCAGATAAACTATCCTTTTGAGAAAGGGCCTCTTAGTCCAAGATTCCGTGGTGAACATGCTCTTCGCCGGTATCCTACTGGAGAGGAGCGATGCATTGCTTGCAAGCTTTGTGAAGCTGTAAGAGTTTATATAAGCCTTAAAACGATAGTCCTTAAAAAAATAAAGATAAAAGGACTAAAATGATCTATTGACTCTTTATGAAAGATCAAAATGATCTCCAACTATATTAAATGGCTATTTTAGGCTCTCGGCTCTTTAAAAAGAAATCAAAGTAGTCTCATCATAGGATTATTTTGATTCTTTTTGAAAGATTCGAGGAGCTAAAATGATCCTTCAATATAGTTGGAGATCATTTTTTCAAAAATAAATGTGACTTCACTGTAGATCATCAGTAATATGATATGCTGTTATGTTGTGTTTATTTAAGCATAAATGTATCTTACATTTGATTTCATTGGCATGAAATATTCTGCTTCGGAAAGTTTCCATATTTTACATTTTGATGAAGGTTATGCTGTGTTATTTCATCAGATATGTCCAGCACAAGCAATCACAATAGAAGCAGAAGAGCGTGAAGATGGCAGCAGGAGGACCACAAGGTTGTGATCAGTTCTAGTTTGAACTTGCCCATGATTTATAATCCTGAAGCTTCCATTTATTATAAGTTTTCCTTTGATTTGGATCTGCAGGTATGATATTGACATGACCAAATGCATCTATTGTGGCTTCTGCCAGGAAGCTTGCCCTGTGGATGCCATTGTCGAAGGTCCAAACTTCGAATTTACCACTGAAACACACGAGGTGACCACCCTGTTTCGCCTGAAACCAGCTATTTTGGGGACTTTTATCACTAATTAGTTGGTGCTACTGTTCCTTTTCACAGGAGCTGCTGTATGATAAGGAGAAATTACTTGAGAATGGGGACAGGTGGGAAACTGAGATTGCCGAGAACCTCAGATCAGAGAGTCTCTACCGTTGAGCTTCAGCTTAATTTGTTTCTCTTGTTCTGAACTTGGAAATAAGGCAACTCGCTTGTTTAGCCTAAACCTTACCTGTCTTCTCTCAAAATTTTCTTTTGTTTACATCCTTAACGGATCAATATTTCTGTAATTTATAACTTGGTCTTTTGTAGAGAGGGAATGATAGGCAATAATTTGAGCTACATTTGTTTCAAAAGTTTTTTTTTTTTTTCCTTTATGGAGGAACTACATTTGCTTCATTTCTTTTGGAGAAACGCTTTGAGAATCATGTAATTTTTATGGCCTGGTTTGGGGCAACGGATAGTTTGCTTGGTTATGGTGTAGTTGTCTTCAGGGTTGAATGCTATGAAGATTAATGTTTCTCTATGGAAATCATTATTGCTGCATCAATTATTGTTAATAATTCGTGTTGTTAAAGGGATAATTTTATCTTAAGTAAATATATTCTTCATTTGGTCAGTCTCATGTATTTATCTGAAAAATTATTTTGTGTGGACACCGGACAATGTCCGGGGTACAACTAGAATGTTCACATTATATTTTTGCTCGGTACCGGATGATGTGGTGTGTTTTGATTGGTCTATGAATCGTCCGGTGTCAGCACAGAATAATTTATCCGTGTATCTTGTCTTGAGTGAGAGGTGAATTCACGAGTTCTATCTTTAAAGTACTTGGAGAACGGTTTGTCATCTTTAATAATGTGGTTTCTATTTGTTTTTTATGTTCAAATTCATTTGAATTGTTTGTATAAACTACCTAGATTTTGATCTCTTACTAAAAAGAGAAGTTTTCAATGTTTGTTGTCTTTGTTTGGGGAGGTTTTCTTACTCTTTTTGTTAAGTTATTATAGAAAAAGTAATTTTTAAAATTAGGCTTTGTTTGACACGGTTTTTATCACTTTTTAAAGTAGTTTTTTTAGTATAAATTTTTTAAACGGAAATTTTTTTGCTAAAAAATTATTTTAAAAAGTACTGATAAAGGCGTCCTAAATGAAGTCTTATTGTAGAAAGTAGTTTTTTAACACAATTTTTTTTTTAAAGCAGTTAGTTGCCAATTAAAAATTATGATTACGTTTTAAAAAACAAAACAATAAAAAGGACGTATCAAATGAAATTTAAAATAGAAGAAGTTTTTTATAAATATATTAATAATTATTGTCCTTTATAAGATTATATTGTGTCAAGTGTGGAGCCAAAGTATTCTCCTTTGAAGCCACGTTTTACATATGACAGGATCAGAATGTGGCCATCAATTGAAGAAATTATTCCATGCGGAAGCTTGACTATCCAGAGGCGAATCAAATTGTACGGATACCTATCGGTACGTTAGGTAGTCGTTAATCAGCGTAAAATTCATTAATTCTTTAATACATGGTTGTTGTTGTATGGTTGAAGATGGTTTGGTGGTAGAACACTCAAACAAGTTTTAACACAATCATGTAATGATTGATCTCAATGGAGATTAAATTTAATGATGATGTATGTAGCGGTGTAAGTGAATCAAATCAACTTGAACTCAACTCGTTAACGAGCATACGAGTCAAGCTTTATATGTCACCAAGAAATTATCTTGATCTAGCATGAATCTCGATGCAAATCTAAATGGTAAAGTTTTGAAATTAAATTTGGGATCATCCTAACTCCGATTTTAACATGCTTATATTGAAATTGAATGCCTCAAAGAGACGAACACAACGACACAAAATTCAGTGCTTATAGTCAAATCGAGCAGCTCAACAAGAAAAATCTAACGAGCACAAGATCACTCAATTATGTCATCTCTAAGGCACTTAAATGCTGAACAAATACTCTATGATCGAAAGAATCAGTGTGGACCATCAGATGGAACATTTTCAATATGATCTTCTCCATATTTACTAGATATGCCACTCCCAAAAAACATAAATAGCCCCCAATTCTTCACATGTGGGGGGAGAAGGAGGAGAGAAATCTTGAGAGCTCTCTTGCATTTTCCATTCAACACTGCCACCGTTGGATTATTTCCTGACCACCGATCTTAACTGGAACTCGTTCTTCGATTATAGCCGAAACTCTTCCCAGATTCTACAAATGTCATATCTCCTCCCAAATATTGTCACTCGCTAACTACGATAATTATGCCCACTGTCTTCTACCGACTATAGTTCTTCTTAACACCGTCACTTGTCAACTACAGTCATACGGACCAAATAAATATGTCAACACTCTCTTAAGAACTGTTGTCATGTTGTGCACTTTACCATGTGTATTTGCTACATTGAGCCAGCACCCTCCTCTGAGGAGGGGTATTATTTGTAATAAATCATCAATATTAATAGATTCCTTCAAATTAGGGCAAGCCTGTGATGCCCTAGAATCTAATTTAAAAGAATCATTCATTTTTTTAATAAATAACAACTATAGCTATCTAATATAATCTATAAGTATTAAATAGCAAAATATATTTTAGAATTCAAAATATTAATGTACACATTTATATTCATTCCCAGAAATCATATACAATACTCAATATCTATATAGTCATATCATAACTAGTATGTCCTAAATATAAAAGAATAACTAGAATAAAAAGAAACAGAACCGGAAGAACTTGACCAGCCTTACACTCCTACTTCCCTGCTCTAACATGAAATTATTTAACCACATATAATGAGCTTAAAAAGCCCAACAGGTCACCAAAACCTATAACTGAATTTAAAGCACGATAAAAAAAGTATTATGCATGTTAAAGATCAAATCATAGTAGTAACAGTTATATGATCATTGAATAAGTGCAAAAATAATAAAACTCAAATGTAGTAGGAGTAGAATTTGTAAACAATAAAACAATACGGTACAATATCTGATAAATTAGTAACCCAGTACGAGTGTCAAACCTATAAATCAGTCATGTTTCCGTAATCAAATAAAACAACAAATCAAAACATCAGTAAAGACTTTCAAAATTAAATCAATATAGTAAAATCATATAAAAATATACACATAACATTTAAACCTTCTATATCACATACTCAATATTAAGTACATTGAATCAATATTATCAAATAGTATCAGTATCCAGATCGATAATAATAATAATCTAATGACATAAGCAGTGGAATAATGCAACAATAATAAATCCATATAATATTAATAAATATGTATAATAATAAGAATAATGTCTCAAAAATATACATTTCAGTAGTCATACTAAACAAGTAAGAAGTCTTGGCTATTACAGTATTTTTTAGTATTAGTATAAATATTAATAAATTGTTGGCTCAGTAAATAGTCGTTACTCTTTGCCCGTCGGCACAGTTATAATCTCCTTGTAACTCCCAATCAATATATCACGTGAATTAACAGAAGATAACATCAAATTACTTAAAGCCAGTTGACCCACCATCATGTACAGATCAGTCAATCTCCAACCAATGAGTCAACTAGTATTTACTTATCTTTTATATGACACGTGTATTATTATCACAATAATAGCGATCAGCTATTGCTCAAGCAATAATCCACATTTATTTATAATATATTACAACAAATAAAACATAACTGAGCATAATTCAAAAAATGCCAAAATGTATTAATGGTAGATAACAAAAATCACACTAAAAAAAAATTTATATTTTTAGAGTTTGACCAAATTACTAAATATTGCATAAAATAATATTCTAAAGTTTTTGTTGAACTAAATCACTATTTTTAGACATCAAAATAAATTTCTGAGTAGACAAAATCGCCGTATTTTTAAAATTACCCTGTGAAAAATCTCAAATAAATACTCAAAACGTTCATAATCTCATCTCTATAACATACAAAATGTTGTGCGGTAAAGTTTTACCAATACAAAATTATTCATATTTTTCGGTAACAGATACACAAATTTGATAAAAAATGCCAAAAACATAAATTCTGTGAAATTAAAAATAGGGTAAATATTTTTTACAATGAGGCGAGAAAATATCCCAATTGGCCTGACTAACGAAAATCACTCAGCGGCTTCCAAAACTAGGTTTTCTTTTTCTCTCTCTTACCTTTTCTCTCTAATTTCTCTTTTCATTTCTCTGTTTAGCCGAAAGCTTAAATGTGATTTATGGCTTAAGATATTTTGAAAAAATAATAATATAATAATAATTTATTATTTAGTTTAATTAATTTTATGCAATTTTCTATCACTTCTCAAGTGTCAACCAATGTTGCATCAATTTCATAGAAGCAAATTTGGGTTGGGGGAAACCTTGATTGTAACTTTAAGTATGACTATAGTCAAGATAATATCCTCCAATATTTTTAACATCCAAGACAATATCATTGGCAACCATTTTTCATAAAGCTCCCAACTAATGCAAGGATGCTTCAAGTAAATTTCATGCTCTATGTAGTCTTTAGCTGGATTTCTACTCCTCGGCAAGATATTAATTCCAGTCTCAACACGACAATAATGTTCTAAGAAAAAGACTAATTTTTATATTTAATTAGATATACATGTGACATTCGCCCCATCCCATTATATACATTTTTTTTCCTAATTTCTAAGAAGCGCATTGTAGTCACCTCATTTTATCGAGGTGGAAGCCTTAAAGAGAATTAAAAAAAAAAAGAAGAAATAGTACCTTGGACATATGTGTAGGCAAATGTAGGGATTTCATGGCTAGCATAAAAACTATTGTACCATTATGGCTAATGGTCAATAAAGCATGCTTAGTTGAAGCCTATATATAGATCCAATATTCCAATCAACAACATAATAATGAAACAAGCAATATCAAAGGCATCACATACCAATTATCTATAAATAAAAAAGAAGCTTGAATAATAATTTTTTATTTAATTTTAATATACAATAAATGGTATTTATAAGATTTATAAATAATTTATACATTTAGACAAAAAAATCATGATTAGTGTTTGTTATTTGTTGCTTTAAAACTTCATTGATCAATGTCCAATAGGAGGTAAAGCCTCATAATTATAATTATTAGTCACAAGTAACTCATAAATGTACAAATATGTATTTTCAAATTCTATAAGCTTCGACGTTCGAAAATAGGGGGAAACTGATATGTCATAAAGAAATTATCTTGATTTGGCACAAATCTTGATTAAATTTAAATGGTAAACATTTGAAATTAAATTTGGGATCATCCAAACTACGCTTTTAGCATATTTATAGTCAAATTGACTCAATGACACCAAATTCAATCAAATTCGAGCCAAAATGAGCTCAAATCAAAGGACCAAAACATATTTAAAAGCTTCAAAAAATCAATATGGCATGCTTATAGTCAAATTAAGAGAAAGCTTGAGAGCTCTCTTGCATTCTCCATTCAACACTGTCATCACTGGAGTTCTTCCTGACCACCGATCGCAGCTACACTTCCGCCCGTTCTTCGACTATTATCG